CACGCATGTGCTGGACAAGAACTAAGTAGATGAGATACATTTTTATCGTTCTTGCCACAACTGCAAGAACGAAAGCGAGATTCAAACTTCTACCATGGTTGTCTAATCCGCAATACCTTTGAGTAAAACTATCACAAAGCTAATATCTCTACGAGACATCTGAATGGCACTATTGGATTTCCTTTAAATTAAACGTGGCTAACTTACATGCTTATATCTAAATATCGTTGAGTCTTCCTAGATTTTATTAAAAAGATCAGCATAGAAACTACTCACTAACAGTTTGCATTTTCAAAGTCAAAAATCGTGGTTATCCTGTGGTGTAATAATAAATCCAAAATATATAACATAATGGATGAGAGAGTTTTTAGATCCCAGACATATGTGCAGTGGTTGCACAATTCACTGCGTCACCAAAGTTTGTTCACGTCATTCTGGTCTATGTTTGAATTCACGAACATACAATTCTTTGTCTTTACAATTATATACCTACATTAGAGGAGACTGCTTACGGCTTGATATAAAACATTGCAGTTATGTTATTAGTAAACAAAAATCGGGTAGGACTTTGCTGAATACCTGGTGATATTGAATTTGTAACAGTAATTCTGGAATTAGTAAATAATTTCGTCGTAATCAGATTAGCTATGCAATTATAAAGACTCGAACCATATCGCAATTGGAATGGTACTTTTGGTAAATGCTAGGTTAAATACCTGAATTATTTTTCAAAGAGATATTTCTATTTTTTTCCATTACGAGTACAGAAAGGAAAACTATCGTCTGTCAGTCGACATTAGAAACTAAAAGTCTACACATTCAAAACAAAAGTAATAATAGTTGATTAACTTAGTAATAACTAAATAATAACTACTTCAATTGCAAGCTACAATATACATTAGTTGAGAAATCAAATTGCTTAGGTTCCTTTATAAATAACACCAGTACTACTTACAGGACAGTGTAGACTCAACTGCCACATGAAGAATATAGGTGTGGTAGATAGTGATTGCTGTCATAACTCTGCCATGAAGAAAAAGAAACATCAGAACATGTTCTATGTTATACAACTGCCTAGCGGCGGTAAGACGCAGACTTGACTACCTTTGTAGCGGAATCTTGGTCCCAAATCAAATAAGTAAAACTAAGCCCACAGCAATATCAAGATTATAAATTTATAAACCTAGTCAGCATGACTTGATAGTGCTCGCCATTCACCGTAACGGCAGCTCCTAGCTCCTAGCTCCTTCCTCATTTCTAAAGACATAAGGATCGATCATGGCACCAGCATGTAAATCGCATAAAACAATCAATTTTAATGGTGATTCCTTAACGGCTTGAGGATTATCTTTGCTTTATATAATGCAAGTTTGCTTATTGCCGTAGCCATTTAACCAGAAATGCGCTGCCGTTAAATGGACGAAGTACTCAATGAACTTCGCTAACAGATTAATTTTTTTGAAAAGTAAAATTTTCCATTTGGAAGCGTTGTTCTAGCCTTAAACGATTTATGATGAATTAATGATAATTATCGATATCGATAGTTCTCATGGAGCTAAGAAAATACCCGATATAGAACGATATTTCGAGTTTTAATAATTATTTTGAGTTAGGTTCGACGTTTCAGAAGATAATAATTATTCTCAAGATGTATGTTATGGAAAATTTGCTGAAATTAGTTGACTCTACTATAATCCACATAATAATATAATAATAATAATGTTTTTTTCACCACATGAGAGATTAGTATGCATTTTTATATATAATGCTATAATATCTTACGACAAGTCGGGGATTTATGATGTATAATATATACTTTAGCTCATTTATAAAACAATTATAGATTCGTTAACAATAGTGTTGCTTATGTTTTTATATAGTATACTTTTAGGTTGTTAATTTTATTATTGGTTTCTGTGTTAAAAGCTTTTCTACACGTAATGGATTCTTCTCTCGAGTTAATTTAATAGGTGCAATTGTTGCTCCTTTGGGCAGCAATTACACCAGTTAAGTAATCTAAGCTTTTGACAATGTAATAATTTAAATTTCTAGAGTTATCATTAATTTTATTATAATTTTTTTTCAAATTTTCAAATAAACAAAAAAAGCTAAACGTGGAAACAATTTAATTCTGTGAAAATCTTTTGTTTGTTCGTTGAACTATTGAATTCGTAAGGACTCTATAGACTCAATACAAAGTCAAGTCACTACAGGAGTCAAAATGAGTCAAAATACAGCTACTAGCTTGTGCTATGTCAGTGTATCTGTTTATATAATTTGCATGGATGTTTGTGCGTATGTATGGTAAGCATGTTGATGAGCAATGGAACAAGTAGATTAGTTTGGAATGACCTCCCCACTAAAGTGGAGCACACATAGCGACAATAGGAACAAGTAAGTAAACAACAAAATTAATTCGCCTGATATTTAATCCAAAGCAAATTGGGATTTAATAGAGCCTCCAACTAATTATGGCGGAGTGCTTAAATTAATTGGCAACAAAAGTTTGAAACGTAATTTGCATAGGTTAAACTACTCAAATGCGGGAGTGCGGACAATTTAATATAATTTTTTTATACTATTTTGTTTTTTTTTGTTAACATTTTGTTTAACATTTTGGTAGATAAATGAGTTTTATGTCTACAAGTATATTTTGGTGACATTCAGATGCGGTACAATTAGCATTAAATATTATCTTTTCCGGTTTTCCGGATAGTAGTTGAAAAGTATTTATCAAAGAAATTTACTTTGATAAAAATAAAGAGTGGTGCATAAAATTTTTCGAACCAACAGAAAGACTAAATGCATAATCTTAAATTCTGCATTTTTTAAGATTAAAGAACATTTAGATAAACAAACAAACATACTTTAATAACAACAAGCCATACCTAATGCAAACATGGATATGAAAAGGATATTTAATACTTAGTTGCCCACTACAGACGTGATTCGTCGAGCGCCCCCAAATCGTTGGTCACCTGGTCCTTCCACCGAAGATGCGAATGTCCTCTACCGCGTTTTCCACCTGCTGGCACCGAATCAAATATCTTTCTAGCCGAAGTACTTTCTTCGATTCGCACGACATATCCAAAGCCAGCGTAGCCGCTGAATATTTATACGCTTAATTATCTCAATGTCATGGTATAGCTTATACATTTAATATAGGACATTTAATAGTTAGACAAATAATGTGTAGGACTCTGCTTAGTCACTATGACAGCACATAATTTAGATTGGATATCACTAATTATATTAAAAGCAAACATTGACGAGACACAAATTGGAGCAAATATTAGAACATTTTATTTGCGTATTGTTTTCGGAAAAGGTGTAATTCTGTTTGAAGGCAACGCAGGCATGAATGCAAATTTTAAAAATTTTAAAACTACAATGAATTGATGTAGTTTTCTTTTAAGTGTATCAGAATATAATATCTGCAAATTCTGTTGTAATATTATAAGTAACGAATAATTTATCAAAAGTTTGAAGCTTTAAAGCATGTAAGGTATTTCATTAGATTTAAATGATTTTTATGTTGAAGCTATTTAAGCCAATGCACTTGAGCACTTTTACTCTCTATTAACTGAGAGGTGTCTTCAAAATCCCTCTCTACGCCTTCATCAGACTTAGCAATAATTTACCTTTCTGACCATTCTGAGGAACCATTCTGAGTAACCATTCTGAGATTTGATTTCAGAATAATTTCAGGGCTCTATCCTTTATGTATTTTTTGATCGGATCAATCTTGAAGTCCCTGAGGATGTCATTTGTATACACAGCATGAGTTAGGCTGTGTATAACCCATATCCGCCCAACATTCGATTAATCAAACAGCAAATTTTACCATTTTTCATGGATTTTTTTATTTATATATGTCATTACTTTGAATGTATGAAGCTTTAGCTTTACAAAAACATTGGTGACTTCATTCAACACCCCCCACTCCCTTACTAATTAAGTTTTAAAAAAAACATTTCGACCAAAACCTCCAACAAAAAAAAAAACTTTGGGCTGTTATGGGTTAATAAAAATAAGTTATGCTAGCCACCGACTTGTGTTACGGCGCATTGTTTGGTTGAAAGAGGTACTTTTTTCTGCATCTGAACGTAATTCTACGTATATCCTAAAATACGGATGCCATATCCTTCACAGCTGTTTGTTGCGTTTTTGATCGCTTTGGACAATTTTCACCGGCTGATTTCCACCTGTTCACTATGCTGACTACCGATTCGTTTATGGAGTGAAATAGTAGATCAAGGTTTCGTCTATTTCGCTTTGGACGAGTTTCGCCGGCTGATATCCAGCTGTTCACGATGCTGACTACCGATTCGTTTATGGAGTGAAATAGTGGATCGAAGTTTTGTCTATTTTAATGTATCGAGCCAAAAAGTTCTTTTCATTTTCCAGCATCCTAACACTTGTAGCGCAGGGTTTTAATTCAGCAAATCATTTCGTTACTTTTGGTTTGGATGGAATAGAGTCCGGGTGGCACTAACTATACTATATATTTTGTTGTCACATTATTTTTTCTATCAAAAAGCAATGATAAATCAAAACACAATATCGCTTTGAACATACTGTTCTGAAAATATAGAAGATAGCAATATTAAAGCAGCTGTAACAGCTTTAAATGGATAATTGCTTGAATATCATAAAATTTTATTACTTAAAAGTTCCCACTTTTTTAAATTTATATCGATTCTTACATCCACCATTGAATTACACATTCTTCATTCCTTAGAAGAATCATCTAATTCAGTAATATCATGTAGTTTGGAAACATAGGATGTTAGCTAAATAAATAGAGTTTATTAGGAAAGTCTGAATTTCCTAGTATCACATTAGATATAGTATTTATGTAATTCTAATAAATGTTTACGTATACTTTACACTTACATTTGATTACTATATAACCTAATAACAAATATACGTACATAGCAGACATAAATTATTAGCAAAATTATAAGACTTTTTTATTTTTTATATTTCAGGCATGAAATTTTTTTTATTTGTTATAAAATATTCCAAAATGATCTATAAGATGGAACCCTACAAAAATGTTTAAAACAAAATTTTTTTGGATGTGCTTTGCAATTATGACGACATCGTGGCATGTGGCGGCCAAATCAACAACTGTGCAGGACGCCAAGAAAGTCCAAAACAATTTAAATGTAAGTTTCTTTAAATTTTTTGTAAGTTTAATTAAAATAATAATTATTTTATATATGAAAGAAAGTATACTATATCTAATCAATCCTTCTAATCCAAGAATAAAATTTCAACTCATATATTAGGTTAGGTTAGGTTAGGTTATACCGGTCATCCCCAGTGGATCCACTTAGGCCTATTGGCCCATTGTGATGTCGTATATAAATAGTAAAAAAAAACCTCAGGGTTTAAAACCACCTAGAACCTTTTGCGAAGCATAAAAAGCTATTTAGAGTCAGATCCTGTAACTGGTCCAGGTCTTCAAGGAAGGGAGCTCCTAAAGTACTAAGTCGCCGACGTGCATGAGCTGTGAACTCATATATTAAAATGAGATATTTTAGAACACCTTAACTTCTCCCTAAACTTTTAAGATTGTATATGTCATTTCTACAAATCATATATGTTGCACAGATGTCTGATATGTTATTCGAAGGTTTCTCATATATCCGAAGCTTAAATCCGAGATTTTATTGGTAGCTATAAGTAATCATTTGTATGATGAAAACTTTTGAACAAAATATAGTTCAGAAATATAGAAATATAGTTCCGAAATATTATAAAAGTGCTTAAGTACGGCATTTTTTTTACTACAAAATATCTATATAGCAGGTTTGTGGTAAACATGGAGTTATATACGCTTTGTATTGCATTAATATAAATATTAAATAAAACTATAGAATATAGGTTTAGTTTTAATAGTTATTGTATTGAACTTCATGATACCTATGTTATAAAATATGAATATTAATATATTCATAATAGATTTTTATCAAATTTTACAAATGAAAAAAGTGAAACAAGTACTCATATAAAATCATGAAGCGACTTTGAAGTAAATCATGCTATTTATTATAAAATCACATATTTAATTAACTCAAAAACCCAAATACCATTACAATATCATACTAGTTACGTTCCAGATGCTGTATCTCAAGATTTTATTTTAAAATCACTTTAGTACTGTGCAAACTGTTCCCGAAAAAAAGTTAAAGTACACAGAAACACTATTATCAGTTAGAGAGGAGTGTATACTTATACTTATTTGCATATTCATACTTATACTTATTTGCATTCAACATAGAATATATAACCCAGCCAATATCCACTTTTTAAGCAATTCCTAACGCGGAGAACTAAATAAAAAGAATTCTATATTTTAAACGCTTTAACAAAACATATCATAAACCTATCCAAGAGGTTTAAGAGGTTTTTAAGAGGCTTATAGGTTTATGGATCGGAACAAACTAAGCGAACTTGTTATTTTCGCTAGCGTTAAAGGTAATGAAAGCCCCTTTATGTTGCGCTATATAAACTGTAAATTTTTTTCAAATATTTATTATATCAGTTATTGCTTCTTTAAAGCACCTAAAATTGAAATTTTTTTCTTGACCAATCCTCTCCAGAACTAATTCACTTAAATAAAAAGTGTATTTACTAGAAGTATACAAGTATAAAAAATGCAATACACATTTATATTAAACAGTTATTATTTATATGAACATATGAAAATCGCGAGTAAATGAAAATTTATATATAGGTGTTAGCAATATATTTTTCTCTGCTACTTTCTGACCTACTTATACATTCTACTTATACATTGGATATAATATAAATACAAACTAGTCTTATATGGTAGTCTTATATAAGAGGACCTTACACTCAAAATATACGCTTTTAACCTAATCACTGCAGGTTACCTTGGTAAAGTTTTATTTTAATTTTGTTTAATTTCTTAATTATCAGGCAGATGCTCCTATTGACTTTGACAATGGGACTATCTGTTCTTGAACTATCAATTTTTTTAACAGAAGTAAGTGAGCTTTAAGTTGGTAACGTTGTTAAGTCAATGAAATACTGAAATCTTACAAAGCTCTCAGTCGAAAAAACTGAGCAAATACATGATCTGGAGACATCAATGATAAAGTCTGAATTGGAGAGGGAAAATGCGTTTGAAAGTCATATGCAAATATCAACCCCATAGTCTCATCATCTAATATGAGCAGGCTGAACAATCATAATTAGTGGCTATTCTAACTCCATTTGGAATATTATTTCATCACTTTTTCCTGAATTCTGAATTAGTCCTGGAAACTTTAAATCAGGTCCGTGATGTAAGAAGTACCTGTAACATTTGATTAGTAGTTATTTTAATGTTATATTATTTTTCTATATACAAATATTTAAGTAGTTTTAAGATTCAATAACTAATCATAAAAAAAGACTTTATAAACATGTTAAAAATCTTAAAAAATAAGGACTATTTTTTTAAAGCCAAAACCTTTATCTTTAAAAAAACTTAGACGTATTATTTTCATATTCCGGTTTTATTATTACCTTGATGATAGTCAAAAAATTTTGTATAGATTGGCACGATTGATAAATTGGAGATGCAATGATAGAATTATATCGGTGAATATTTAGGGTTTATCAAAGTTCTTCAGGTAAAGTAAAATATGTCTGGCCAATAAAAACACATCTCATCTTTTAATATTTTTTCGCTACTTATTTTTAGTTCTTCTTTTAACCTGAAATACTAAATGTTAGTAGAAATGCAAGTCCACCATTTGGCTTAACGCGGTAGTAGCTCTTAATAGATTATACTATTGCAATCCACATCTTTTCTCTATGCTAACAAGTCAAATTATGCTATGAAATATCAAAACCCAGACTTGATGTATTAATACTGACTATTTTTTCAATTTTCACGAATCTATTTTAAGTAATAGAGTAATATATGTGTAGCCATAAGATTAGTTTACTATGAATGAGTATATAAAATTAAAATAAGATATATATTAATAGTCAACATTTTTTATATTATAGCACGCCACTGAAGGAAGAATCTCTGGTAAGTGCTTTCAACATTTTTTAATAATAATAAAAAATAATTGTTTTTCCCATTTATAGAAATTAAGGTCAACGTATCTCTTTATGAACACAAACACCTGCAGTTCCACATAACTTGGACCGACACCTTACCGAAAGGTAATATGATTTCTGAACATCATCATTTATAGTTCATAAAAAAAAATTTATTAACTTTTTAATTCTATTACAAACATATCCCGTTTATCTTATTTTATACGTATTCGAGTTGGTGTTAGCATATTTATATTCTATTTCGTGGGCGGACCTGTTAGGGAATGTGATGGTAAGGCACATGTGAGTTTAGCTTCTAATTCGTATATTAGCCTACTTAGTATTTTTAAGGTTGTTGATGACGTTAGAAAGGTGAGATTGCATTACAAAAAAAAATTGACAGTTTGGTAATGGGTTGACTCAGTTTTGGATACTAGTAAAGAGAAAATTCGCTATTGTTATAATTTTTCTTCAATAATACCGAAAGAGCAAGCCAGGCACTTGAAAAAGAGAATTGTGTTTATGGTCCTGTAATAAATGTAGCAGCCAATCTTAAGCAATCATACGTCGGTTCCGTTTCGGTAATTTCGATGTCAAAGATGCATCTCGCTTTGGAAGGCCAATTGTCGAAAATATCGATAAAATCATGGAAATTTTTGAGTCCGACGTTACAGTCATGTAAGCACTGTTTAGATTGCTTAAGAGATTGCCTAAAAAGCCGTTTAAAACCATTTGAACAAAGCTGAATACAAAAAGAAGCTCGATGTGTGGGTGCCAAATGAGTTAGTAAGTTTCTATACATCTACCTTATAGTCCAGACCTTCCACCAAGTAATCTGTTTTACCAGTTGTTGCTATCCATGGCAAACGATGGACGAAGAAAATTCGCTTCAAGAGAAGCTTGTTAAAATTGACAATTCACAGAATATTGACACATTATCGTACAAAATGGTGTATACTTGTATTTGACCTAAATCGGATCATTCTTACTATAGTAAATAAGTCCAGAAAACGTGTCTTAAAATGCAATAAACTGACTTTATATGTCATATCAAGTAACCTTTGTGACATCAGAATTTGTCCTATTTTGTTTTTTCAGTTGTTATGAAATTTTTTTATCAGTGATCAAGCACACCTGGAGATATTTTAGATCTGTCAGTATATGAGTTTTTCAGACTGTCTTATACTCGTGTATTTTTGTATTCTTGCTTATAGACAACTTCAATGGCATTCTTAACTTTTTTCAATTTTCGGAAAATGGGAACGGACGATATTCAATTCTAATGAAACTTGTGGATATGAATTTACTTTGGTATCGAGACATTATATTAGACTTATGCCATATGGTATTTCTTGCTGACTTCTTATGTGCACAATAGTTATTTCTATTACAACTTTAAACAAAATCGCCAAGTCATCCGGGATATCCTTAACATATTTAAAAGCAATAAAACTTCTATTATTGTCGCCTTCTCTGACAAGCATAAAAACATATATCTTTGAAATATGAAAAAATATATTAAGTTATCTAAAGGGTATGGACTTTCCAATTAGTTCATAACATATCAGATTATAATATTATTTGTTTCAATAGGCATTAGTGTTCTAGCAAAAATATAGCGTTCGGCTAGAGACAATCTTCGCAATATTTACAATTTATTGTGTGAAACAATCATTAAATAAAAATTTACTACTGCACAAATAAAGTTTTGTAATATGTTTTAAATGATATTTTTTCAGATACATCATATAACATCATTGTTAATGCCGTTAATCCATCGGAATGTCCTGATCCGCCATGCAGTTATTACGGGATATCAAAGGTAACAGTCAGTATTTCAAGGCTTCATATTATTAAATAAATTATTAAACTAATATTTTTCTTAAAGCCGAAAGGGTCATTACTAATACCAGAAAATCCGGCAACTTATATTGAAGTGCAAGAGTGTAACTACATGTTTGGTTGCAATTATTCGTTAACAGTGGAAACATCGAGCACGTTTATAGCTAAATCAACCAATATTCAAGTTCCATGTGAGTGATAGTTTCATGAAAAATTTCTACTTCATAATTTTAAACAAAAAATCCGTCAATTCTTAATTAACATAAAAATTCTCCTACTTATACCTATCTTTGTGAACATATCCTTAATTAAGAATTAATGATTTACAAAGGCACAAAAAGTACTAGAAATTAATCTCATTAAAAAATGTTAGTATTAACTAACGTAAGGAAAAAACAGTAATAAAACCAATGAAAATTTCCGGTAGGAAATTTGAATAATTTAGTGAGATCAAAACTAAAAGGGGACACTGAATTTCCTAAAGAATTTAGCAAAATATATTGCTATTTCCGCTCAGAACAGCATTTTTAATACTTTTGCTACTAATATCAAATACATTATTAAGCAAGAGAGATCCCAGAGTTTAGGTTGAGTTAAATATTTTTTTTAATTCTTAGAATAGTAATATAATATTTAAGGGAGAAAAATTCTAGAGTAATCATATACGTCTTTTGACGAGTGCCAGGTAGTGACAGATCAGATACAGGAAGCAACACTTTTCTATACTTCTTCTGACCCACAGTAGTCTTCAACAGATATTTTTAAATAAACGCCGTACCGATAACAAAAGTTGTCAGTAACTTACTTCTTTTCCAACATTAATCGACCATGACATATATGTAGTTTATTAACCATGATCTTCACGCCATCTCCAGTTCACTATTTTAAAATATTTTGCACGTATAGACAATTTAACAGAGCATACATACCCCAAAGACAGCATTCGAACCAAAGGTTTAATAATCTAAATTTAAGATTTATAAAGAGTCAACATCAAAAAAAAGCAATTTAATTTCGGTCGCAGGAGGAAGTCTTTTAGATCGGTTTCTTTGATTAGAAAGATAGTCTCAAAATATTATTTATGAATAATTATATATGAAAAATAGTTGTAAGACCACTGTTGATAGGTTTCTGGCAATACTCGAAGCAATTGTACATTTCATTTAATTAGAAATTAGAAGGGAGAAAAGAAAAGAATAGAAAAGAAAAGACAACAACAAAAATTTAGTTAATTTTTTGATAATTGGCTGACTATACAACGCTGTTTTGAGTATTGTATTATAGTCAGAGTTAGAACAGTAAGAGTTAGAACAAGTTCAACGAACTGGAAGTTAATTTTTGAGGTTGCCCATTTTTATTTCAAAGCAATTTTTTTTTGCAGAGACATACGTTATGCATATTTTTTACATACTATATGTAAAGCGCCTATTTGGTGCTTATTAATTAAAAATAATTTGTTTTAAATAAATAAAAACTTTTGTTGTTGCAATTTACTACTGCTCGAAATCTCTCTATTGAAGACAATATTTTATATTAAGTAAAATAGTCACTGTTGACGCGTAACTAACGTTGAAATCAAATTTATGACTACTATAATGTATTATTGTTAAATCTTTATATAAAATTAAAATTATGTCATTTTAAAAATCTTAAAATGAATCTTTTCAATGAGTATATCCTCAATCGAGACCTAAGCTTGAAATGAATGCATATATCATAGTATAACCGTAGACTAAATCATATGTACTAAGATCATAAAGATGAAATGTAGCTATTCAACTTTAGTCTTTAACAAAAACTAATTATATATATTTATTTTGATTTAGATATGATCATATACTAAAATTGTTTAGATGATCAATTTATTTTTACTTTATTATTGCATTTTTAATTTTTCAGATTGTGTTGATGGACATTGCTCATGTCAACATTCACCTAAAATACCGAAAGTAATTACACGTACGATCATAACGGATTTGGAGTCTGTAGTTTTGGAATGGAGTATTTCATTAAACCCTTGGCACAGCGGAGACGAAAATGATAACATGGATGAATCTAAAATTTATTTAAAGTAAGATTTGATTATTATTATATCTTCATATTATTACAAAGTTCTGTTTTAAATTTTAAAAATGATTATAATACCATATACGTTGACATTATAATATACCTTGAAAATTATATAGAAGCATAGAGATAATGGCTTCTAGTGAAGTAGGGCACTGTGATCTTAAATAGTAATTCATTATACAGCAAATCCTTAACGGAACCAAAAAGCAAAAAAATTTTTTTTTTTGTTGAGAAGTGACTTCTGAGTTAACGTAAAATCAGGCAATCACACAGACTGTGGTTATCTTTTCAGATAAACTCATTTTATAGAAAAGGGGACTGTGAACTGGGTTGATCCGTTAACTGTTTTCGCTCATTTCTGTCAAGAAAACAAATTTCTTTAAATGGTCAAATACAAATTATTTAAGAGGTAACATATTGTGGGGACGTGACATATTAGTACTTTAATGACGTTTTAAACTGTTACGCAATCATCACATTTTTTGTTAGTTGTGTCTTTTTCAGATATGCTTACTTAGTTATTAAAATAATTTTAAAATTAAAATTAAAAAATTAAAATTAAAAAACAGTCAAAACTTTTAGTATATCAGGTTACATTATCAGATATTTCTCAGAGAAATAAAACAGAAGATTTCGATAACTTAGTATATTGTACAAAAACATATACCTACATTGCATATTGAAAATATTTCTGCAAAGATTTGCTGTGACAGTAACGATCAGTTTCATAGAATTCTGGTTTTCTACCTCTTGGACAAGTTATTTTGTGATAATAGTCTTAATTTACTTAGAATTATTCTAAATTTGAATGAGAATATTTAGTGAATAAGAACATATGGATTTACATGGATTGAATAGGTCGAATTATTTGAAGTATTCATCATATTCGAATAACTATTGCGGACATCGAATTGAATCAGTTAAGAACAAAGAAAATCAGTTTGTGACATTCACAATAAAGACAAACTAACATATATGGATCTACATGCATTTCAACTCTTGTATCATTATATTAGTTACGTGATATTAATTATTATCAGATATCAGTTTGGGAAACAATTGAGAATATGAGAGATTCTTTCTACACAATAAATATTTAAAATATATCCCTGTTAATAAAAGTAATATACGAAACCGGCGATGGTAGATATTACATATAATTATAATGTTTTCATAAATTAATCTCACTACTAATTTTTATAAAACTTTAATATTAGATGTATATCTCAATGAATGAAGAGGACTTGTTGTTTTATACTTGTTATTTGTACTTAGTATTTGTTGCTTTAAATAAATTGATTATTACTGTATTATTAGGCAGGTTTTTGGAATTTTGCATTGCTAATCTATAGAGCTTTCGAAACATCGTAATAGCGTATTTAAGAAATAGCCCATACAAAACTATTACAATCCCATAATATGTAAGTGATGCAAAAAAATTCACTAGTGAAATAGACACCAGAATTACGTCAGTTCGAATCATCGTCGATTATCAGTTTAAATTGCATTCTATTATAAAAATAAACAACGGTGTTGTGCCATTAAAAATTTGCATACCACTATTGTTCTGGAAGTCATAGTCAGCGCACCGAGTCGCCTAGAATTTAGTTTTACCTCAGTGCCTGCCTGTCAAGATATTTTACTTTTCGGTCTTCTGAGAATATGCCCTAAGCAGTTTATTTGAGTTTTTGAATTGCTTCTTCGTTCTTCTAAGATATTCTCTTCGGCCTTCAGGAACTCAAGATTCTTTGGCGATATAAGTTAATTAAAGTCTGAAATTTTAACTAAAATTTTAACTAATTTAACACTTCTTCTACACTTTTTAATGAATATATTATTAAGTATTATTACATTTATTGTTACATTATATATTTGTTAATATATATTAATATTTTATAAATAATATATTACAAAAAAAACAATTTCAATTAAATGCTATTTATGTATACAGATTTTAATTACACTGTAAAGAATAGTTGAAAGTCCGCTAAAGAAAATTTAACCATGAGACTTTCTTTAACAGTTTTTAATAAACGTTAGCTCTTTGACGTTCTAATAGATTTATGGGGTCATAAAAATTTGAAATATTTTTCTTTCAAAACTTTTAAGCAAAAAACTTAAAAATGAAAAAATATTTGAAAAAATTGGAAAGAACTGCATACAAGTAAAATATTACAAACTAAAACTCGGCCTAATAATGTTTTGCAGAGTTAGTGAACAAACCAATCCTTCACTATCATGGGGTGGGAAACTTTTACCAATAGCCGAGAGTATATATACCATAAAAAACATGTCGCAACTTTTGAGAACAAACGATACTCTTCAGGGCAAAATCTGCATTAAATTGCGAGAGGACAAGAAGAAATTGACACCTAAGGCCGAACTTATAATTCATACTTACGCCATCGATAAGTCAGAATGCAATGGACCACAATATATCGAAAAAATTTCAGGTAAACATAACATTTGATAACATCAATAATATATTGAGAGATTCAATTTAAATTGTATATAATTTAGTACCGTCATTTAATGACACCAAGTCAGCTGAAGAATTCAACACAAATCAGGAGCAGATGGTAAACTTTATTTAAAAGACGACAGTTCTCAATTACTATGCTTCTTCAATCACTTTTTTTTTAGAAAATAATCATGTTATTTATAATGCTTACTCTGGGTTGTGTTATTGTATCGAGTTTAGGATATTTTGTATGGTGCCGCCGTAAACCAGGAATACGTGAAGAGCTTTCACGCAACAAAGACTACGTGCCCCCATATTCTGATTTCATTGAGTAAATATCAAGAAAATTTATTAACTTTATCTTATTTTATCTTTTAAACTTATTTTCGTAGAATGCGTGATAATCTAAATTATGTGGATAAAGATGTGCAGGTAGATATTGATTGACTCTTACTTATAAACTGTTTTAATCATTTATTATGTTATATATCTTAAAAGGAAGCACTAGATGAAGGTAAATGTGACCAGTATGAAGTCCCACATCATTCACTAAGCTTCGGGCAAGCAATTGGAGAGGGCGCTTTTGGGCGTGTCTATAAAGCTACAGCTAACAATCTAAGATTCGTACGTGGATCTAGAATTGTAGCTGTTAAACAATTAAAAGGTAATTTTTGAAAAACTCGTCAAAAGCGTAAACGAATATAAACTACATGACCGTACGAAAATGAAAATGACTGTAAGTATTTGACTATCTTCGGTTAAAGCTTCATTATATTGGATGGATACCCATTGTCGTATATGCATTTGAATGTCATAATTGTAGTAGCAGTATAATACTTTAATTTATAATAAACATTTTTAATATTCTAATATTTTAGTATTTTATAACAAATTCTACATATTACACAAAACGTTAGATGTAACAACTTCAACAGGTTGAAATAGCTAACCATAGTTACTGAGAATTATAAATATAGTATAAAAAATGTTAACATTGCATTTTATATTAGTTGATTGCTTTGTTTGAGTAACTTTAGCATTAAAATAAATATATTTTATAGGGAAGAAAGTATGCGAAATTGTATATATAACCAAAATTGCAAAAGATACCTATTAATTTATTGAAGAAAACCTACCAATGTTTTTATTGTACTTCTTCAAACTTTATTTTAATCTCCATATATTTGTATATTTCTCTTCTTGTTCTTAATGGGGTCTAATTATTATTGTTATTGTGAAAAGGGGTAGTGTACTGAGACTTGAAAGATCTATTGTAGATCTATTAGTCGGATTAGGGTGTTAGAGTCTAACTTTTCTAGTTTTGAATCCTTATGATTCATGAAATACCCTCCTAGTTGTTTCTTCAGCTTGTGCGTCAGTGTCGGACACTCCCCAAGCATATGGAATGCAGTTTATTTCTCTTTTTTACGGTATCTACATTCTGAATTGGATTAAACTCCTAACTTCGTTATGTGATTATTCAATCTACAATAACTAGTCAATAATCCCGTAAAAATACTTAGGTTATTCTTTGATTGTTTTATAGAAGTTTTGAATCGTAAGTTCGTTAAAGCAGTTTAGATTGTGATATTCTTGGTAGGCTTTCCCAATAGAGTTGGCTTTCTTCTTCCTCTGCACTGTTCATAAGAATGGATAGAGTTCCATTGCTTAAACCACAGAAAGATTCTGTGCCTATCATTATTGAAGTTGCGCCTTTTCTTGCAAACTTGCCTGCCATTTTATTGCCTTGGATACTAGTATGCCCCGGAATTCATATTAAGTGCACCTTATTGTTCCAACTGAGTAACTTCAGCTTGTCAATGCACTTCTATATCAGTTTGGATATTACCTGTTAGGATGTGAGTGCCATTATAGCTGCCTGGTTGTTAGTCAGTATTGCAGTTTTACGACGCATCTATCCATCGTCTATCATCTAGAGCTTTCCAGTATCTTTCACGTGGTTCATATAAACCAGCCTCAGCGACAAAATAAATTTTGAATATTCGCTTAACACACTAATAAAACACATTAAATAATTCCGGATGCTTTTCATACGGAATGTGTAGATAGCTATATAGATATAGATATATATATATATAGATATATCTATATAGATATAAGTAATTTGTTTAAGAAAATATTAAACAAATGTAAATATTCAAATCTTTAAAAAAATTTTTTTTTGTTTGTGTTGATATTAACAGAGGATTCTACACAAGATGAAGTCAATGAATTTTTAGCTGAAATAAAGACATTGAAAGAAGTGGGCCATCATAGGAACATTGTTTCTTTTTTCGGCTGCTGCAGTATTAAACACCCATATTTGATGATTATGGAGTATGTAGGACGAGGGGACTTGGTATATATCTAAATATATAACTAATTTGAAATATAAAATAAAAATAAAATATTTTTGCTATTGCAGTTATCTTATTTGCGTATTGTAAGAATAGAAGCTTCTAAAGTTAAAGTACGTGATGCAAATCATACGGAACCCAGACCAGAAACATCGGGGCAAGCTATTAGATACATTGATGTAAGAAGTTCAAGTCCAAGTTTATTAAGTACAAGTGACAGTGACAGTGATAGCGATGGTGATGGTGATCGTAAAGAAGCACGTGCGAGACAGCCAAAGCAATCAGTTGCAGAAAGTAAGTACTTTAATCTTAATATCAGTTATTGAGCATGAGGTCATAGCTATACTAAATAGGTGTTATAATAGGGAAAGAGGAGCTATTCTTAGTTTTTTTATAAAAACTTAGTTAACTAAGCACAAAAGTTTGATTAAATAGTGATTCTTGAAGCTATAATCTATATATAAGAGACTACATTGTTCATAAAAAAATATAACATAAGATAATGATCAATAAGCATGTTACCGGTAGACGACTGTATTAGTCATTGCCGTAATTTCATAATTAATATTAATGTGAAATATAACTGATATATATATCACTTAATGAAAAGAACTTTTACTACAAAATAAGTAAACAACAATGTTCTTATGCCAAATACTCAACCTCCATATATATAATGTACTCATTTTGATGATCTTTTTGCGCGTGGGCAATGATGGCTCCTCTTGGATCCGTCTCCCTACATTATTGATATGAATAACTACTAACATTAAATATTTTCTTTTTCTGTTTTCAAAATATTATAGCTGAATATACCACAGTTGGCGATGAATGTGAAAAAAATGTTATCTTTGAATACAAGTGCGACCATGAAGAATTGCATAATTTTGCTTTACAAATTGCCAATGGAATGCGTTATTTAGCACAAAAGAGTGTGACACATAGGTAAATTACTATATAATTTCACCTAAACTTAAATTTAATATCTATATATATATATAACTCTCTATTAACAGGGATCTGGCAGCTCGTAATGTATTAATAGATGAACGTAAGGTGTTGAAAATTTCAGATTTTGGGTTATCGCGTCATGGGGTGTACTCAAACACCAAGCCTAGAAAGGTACATAAAGAATCTTCATTAAAAGAAATGTGTAATACATTGTGACCGAAAAGTTTCCTTTGCGTTTTAAATAAAACGCAAAATTCTTAATCTTCATCAATATTTATTTTATCTCCTTCAAAATATGCTCCATTAGAAGCGATACACAAATGCCAACGTTTCTTCCAATCATCAAAACATTTTTTATAGGCGCTTTCCGGTATGGCTTTGAGTTCCCTCTGCGAATTCTGTTTTACGTCTTCTTTGGATTCAAAACGCGTTCCTCTGAGTGGTAATTTGAGTTTGGGAAACAGGAAAAAGTCACACGGTGCAAGATCAGGTGAATACGGTGGCTGTTCGATGGTATTTATTGAATGTTTGGCCTTAAAATCGTTGATAATGTTGGAACAAATTGAGGTGAATCGGAACAAGCCGAGCGTTGACACGTCGCATACACAAATTTTCCACCAAAATCAAACGAGCCATCTCACGACCGATGCCTAGCTCTCGTGCTATCTCTCTAACACTCACATGAGGATTTTGGAACACGATTTCCTTTGCCTTTTCAATGTTTTCGTCGGGGGTAGAGGTCGAAGGTCGTCCAGAACGCGGCATGTCTTCGACGGTCGTACGACCGTCCTGAAAGGCTTTGTACCACTCATAAACTTGAGTTTTCGATAAAACTGATTCCCCATAAGCCTTTTGTAGCATTCGCAAAGATTCTGCACACGAAATTTCGTTCGAAACACAAAATTTGATGCAAACTCTTTGTTCAATATTTTTTTCCATTGTTTTTTTCGCAACGCACTACTGAGGTGAACTGGTTTAAACAGCTGCCGTAAACGAACTGTCTGACAGATCGCGCTCATTTTTGGCATAGTAATTGTCCTTAATTGCTGCCAAACTACATAAACTTAAAATATCGAAAAATATACAGCGCGCGAATTTTAAATGAGAATTTCCGAAAACTTTTCGGTCACAATGTATATGAAGATATGACAATTTCTGAAATTGCTGAATTTTATAATGTATTATATGTAATCTATATATATGTTATATATATATATATGTACAAAGTATAATATATGATATATATATGTTATATATATATATATGTATAAAGTATAATATATGAAAATATGACAATTTCTGAAATTTATTACGTCAATCAGTCTTTTAGCTAAAATAAATTCTGAGGTGTTATTAAAAAATTATCAAAATTATAATGCATAGAATCAGGAATGTAGTAAATTTTGAAATATGTTTTTATATATGTGTTCTTGCGAACATGTCTAAAGCAGTTGGGCTTCACAAGTTAGGAAGTTGGAATAGAACCTTAAGTACTTCACAAATGATGATATACTGATTGGTTTAGCTCAATGCAGCATCGCTAGGGATCTATAGGTATATGTATGGCTTATAACCAGTCATATTATCTCTCTAACAAATTCGAGTTTTAATTGTACGTTTTTTCTGTAACTACTTGTTTTATAAACTAAGTTATATACGCTAAAGTCACAGAAACTTGCAATGATTTTTTTTTTAAATTTCTTACATCTAACCATTAAGTTTACAAACTAAGGAACCATGCTAGAAGATAGAGTCTCTCTTTCAATCAAAACTGTCACAGCTGTGGGGAAGACAATTAGAGTGCCTCTCATCTATTATTTTTCTGCCCAGCTCACGCACCGCGGCAACCAATTACAATACCTGACACTCAATAACATTTAAAGCTTCACCAAAAGTTCTAGGCAGTTTTACACCCTAAGTTGTTCCTATATACGGTAACACAATGTTCCAATAGGCCAATGTGAATCCTCTAGGGATCATCGGTATAACCTTACCTAACCTAACCATTCAATTCATCCGATTCGGGCAGAATTCATTATTCGATTTGAAAATATTAATTTTCAACTTAAAAACAGGAGAATAAAATATATTGAAATAAATTTCACATGAATTTTATAAATATTGAAATAATAATATGTTAAAAATGTTATATACTAAATTCCAAATATTGAATATTAAAAATTTTCTTCTATTATATTTATTGATAGCTTCCAATACGCTGGCTCTCAATTGAAGCGATACGTCACAATATTTATTCAACAAAAAGTGATGTCTGGGCTTACGGGGTCGTACTTTGGGAAATTGGAACACTTGGCGCATCACCTTACTTCGATGTGGATAATTGTGATCTTGTACGATATTTAATGGCAGGAAATCGCTTGGAAAAGCCTGAGATTTGCACAGATCTGGTCTATAATTTAATGTTGCGATGTTGGCATGAAAATCCTGTTGAACGTCCATCCTTTCAAGAGATTTATACGACTCTATCACCAAAATCCGCTTATGTTGACATACAAAGCATAAGCGATGATTATGTTTTTCCACCCATTGCTGAGAAAATTGAATCCGACATTCATAACTTGAATGAGGAAGAAGCTGAGTTGTAATTAAACTTATAAAAAAAAAACAAAAGTTAATTTTTAAATGAAATTTAGAGAGAATAACTCAAAGAAAAAAAAAAAAATTCCAAATCAATGGTATTACTAGTAAATAATACTTCAATGTAGAAATTTAGCAGAATGAAAAAATATGCAAGCATTAAAAGGACTTTAATTATAGTTTTATATAAAATTCATTTACTGACAGATTTAGGTTAATTATTTTTATATTTTTATACAAATATTGGCTTTATTGCCGGGACTATGCTTTTATAAAGCGTAGTATAAACTTGGCCTTTATGCAAATATCGCCAAACAAATTCATGCACCCGCTTTATTGACTACTTCTATTTATTTATATTTTTATTAATAAAATATAATTATTTCATTGATTTTTATTTTAAATTTTGTTATATTACATTTATTTTTTTTTATATTTATTTTTTTTTTTTTTGATTTTTTATATCATAAGTTCATATTCAGTACTGAAAGCAAATATATATACCAAATTGTAATCCTCTGTGACAAAAACATACAAAAATTTTATATTTAAGTTTGTTGTAAGAATATTCTAATTATTAGTTATATATTTATATATAATTGTTAAGTTTTTTATTTTAGGTAATGAAAAGTAAATACGTAATTGTAAGTTTTATGAATGTTATAAATGTTTGTATAAAAATTAGCATTGAACTGCAGAGCACCAATGCATTAAAGAGTTTCTTTTTCAATTAAACAAAAAAAATATTATTAATAATATTTTAATGCATATATCATAAACACAAATTTAGAGAAATTCATTTTATTTTCGAATAGCACATATTTTGACAACGTATTACCATAGTCCTCTAATAAAAAAAAACGCTCTTCAAAGAGTCGCCAAGTTAAGAAAAGACATAATTCTTTTATTGACAATGCATTATTTATTACAAAGAATTGTCAATGATTTAACAACTACTACAAACAAAAAAAAATGAAAAGAAGTCTCTGGATGACACAGTAATTTTGGAATATACAAGGCTTCTATACAATAGACTACAAAGGCTAATACACATTATACGAAAATCATGACCTTACAAGATTAGCAAGAGTAAGCGTTTGAAAAATTTTAAATAATTAAATAATAAACAAAAGATATGAGAGTTTTAAAAAAAATAATTTTAAATAATAATAATTGTATTACTCTAAACTATATTTCATTATTTAACGTATACACTCAATTCAGAGAATGACCTTGCAAAATACCTTTCTTTTAAGTTGGATGACTACTGCTTAAGTTTTGAAAGTCCCAATGTTCATTTACGAAATATTTCCTTATAAAAATATTGCAAAAATAATAACAATTCAGAAAGTAAATACACATATATATATATATGTATCATGGCATTTTCGCATACTATGTAGCATAGTTGAGTACCGACCTAACGTACATGAACTCCATGTACGAAGCGAAAGAGCTTCATATAGGTTCGGTGCGATACCTTGCCTGTACTAGAGAATCATGCGATAATATTCAAACGCATAATTGCTGCCAAACGGGACATCAACTTGTTTTTCTGAAGAAGTCCCGTTTGGATTTGGTAGCTCTCAACTTTACAAAAGTGTGCTCGTTCACTTTTACTTTGGCTATCGTGGTAAGAACACGCAATTCTTAATTATTATTAAATTTTATTATTAACTTATAATATAATTATTTGAGTTTATGTCGAAGGTACCAATGTATACAGTATTTCGTACCGAAAATCTCTTTGCTCTGGTTTTCTTGTTAGTTCTTTAAAACTATAGATATCGGTTCAATTTCAGTAAATAAAATTTCACAACTGAAGAAGAATGTGTGTGAATAAACAGGTACGATGTAGTGCGATGCTGAACAGAGGCAAACGTCTCATTTTTGTAGTTCAGTTCCGGTATTCTATTCCATTCTAGTTTAAAGTTCTAATTTTATATGAAATCGTAATAAATAGATAGCCAAATGTGACAGCAGGTACACCTATGTATCATCCACCTATCTATCATTGTTGAAAACTAGCAAAAAATCGAATTCTTATAGTACAATTTAAAAATACGATTAAATGCTGAAGCATTATCTTTGTTTTTGTTTTCGCAGGGTTATTATATCCACAGTCCCGTGTAAGAATTAATAAGTGTCTGTCTGCATTATTAAGAGCGTACTATATCAACATTTTAAAAATAGAATTTAAATTAAATAAACTTAAACTAAAATTTATAAAATATATAAAAAATATAAAAAGAAATAAACTCTATTTCAAAGAATTGTATGTAATTGATGTGATGTGTTAATAGTTCCAATAAAAGTTTAAAAACTTAAGAAAATTTGTTTGAAATTATACTTATTATACTTCTTCATATTATTGTAGTGTACACTTTAAAGTCCAGATTAAGACTGGTTTTTAATTATTTGATTATAATTTAAAAACTTACAAGCTTACTCAACACACACTATTACTCAAATAATATTCTCTTATATTCTATATTCTCTTCTATTTATATAAAAACTTGAAGTCTAAAGCCCTTCTCCTAAGATGCTAACCATGCATCTATATAAATATACGCAGTAACCTCCTTGTCACTGTTTTCTCCAAGTTGACATACACCATTCACGTGGCCCTTCTGGATAGCTACAATCATCCGTGCGTATGGAACCAATGTGTGCACCGAAATCCTCCATTTAAAAACAATTTTCAGTGAAAACGAAGATAAGGCTCGGATAAGAAAACCGTTTACTGTTGACGACACATGCAGACATTATAAGTAGCACGATTTAAAAATATGCGCCTGGAATATCCGAACACTATACGGAGAAGGTGTGTCTTTACAGCTGGTTACTGTGCCCAAGAAATATAAGGCTGACATTATCGCCCTTCAGGAAATGCGATGGACGGGACGGCTCACGCATGTAATGTCCAACTAAGTAAGTAAGTGAGTTAAGTGAGTTTTTATCAACCCCGTCTTTGACTAAGGGTGATTTCAGTAAATCGAATTGCTATTTCATATTTTTACCTAACCTAAGTTTAGCTAAAGAGTCTCCTGTTGTACAATGTTTCATAGTATGATAATCAAAAAGAAATGTTTTAAGCACTATGTCTAAACTTACTCTTTCACCGGAACTCAAACTTTCTTTAAAGTTTGTTCATTCGTAGCTGGAAACCTTGGGTGTGTAAGAATGTGTTCAATGTCATTTTCTTTTAAAAACCATTGGAATTCCCTGCTGTGAATAGTGTTTTATTGTCGTTTACTATGGTATCCACTAAACCGTACCTACAAAATAGCTATTCTAATTCCTCAATCGTGAACGTTCTTATTATATGTATGATTTTAAAAATTTCTACTAATTTCGAGTATGCATCGACTGCAACTCAAAAGTAAACCTTCCTCACTGGTCCGGCAAAATCAATGTAAATGCCCTATCATATTGAACTAGGCATTTCCCACGGAATCAACAGACTTTTTTTTGGACTATAGGCTATACGTTTATGCACGTAACACAACCGTGTTTAAGCTCTACTATATATTAATCTATATTAAGCCACCAAACATAGGACCTAACCAACGTTCTTTTCTTTACAACGCCTAAATAAGACGAATGTAATTCTTTTAAAATTTGGTGGAAACAGTTTAGTCCAAGCTAAAAACTGTTCTTTGCATGAATTTATTAGATTAGAGGACGTAACTAAACGCCCATCAATTTTCAAATAATAATAAAATGAAGACTATTACAAATAGTCACTCAACGTAAACGTGAACGTGAAGATGAAAAGGTCATTTACAGCATATAATACATATTAAAATAAGCATCTAAAGGTATGCTTTCAAGAGACACTTACTAAAATATCTAACCATACTCGCTGAGAATTATATTCATAATTATTTTTTTTTATAATAATTAAATATAATTCCAAAACTATATTTTTAATTCTCAGCAAGTATGGTTAGCTATTTCAGTTAGTGTCTGTTGAAAACAACGAATTCGATGTCTACTTTAATATATGTATATTATTTCTTGTGAATGTCTATACAGTTTTTGAAGGTATAGAATGGCTTCGTTTAATACATAGTATTTATTTAAAATGTCATAATTTCATCTTTATCTCCATCCTCCGTTGAATGACCCAAAATGAAAAACAAAGTAATTAATATTTGTCATAAAATGTTTTTTGTCATATATAATAAATGTGTAAGGGCGGAAATTTACTCTGAAAGAAAAAGTTACCAAAATCTCAATCACATTTTACTTAAATTTAAGGTTGGGACTGCAGATTTCAAAACTTTTCCACAAAAATAGATTTTCTCAAAATAATATCCACAAATGAAGTCGTTGACATTAGTATGTCATATATTATTGTCTATATTATTGCACCAGTTTTGCGAAAAAAGTTCCGTTTTTGAAAACCGAAAATGTTTAAAGTCCTTTTCGTTCTCATATATGTAGTAAGTTTGGACAACATTTCACAAAAAAATTAACGATTTGATAAATTCATTAAAAACTAGATGACGCCGCGAACTTCGTGCCGCGTATCAGTCAATGAATGTTATATTAATTGTTAAGTAGTAAAAAAAAAAAGAGGTTAAATTAATCTGAACAATATATAGCACACAAATATCAAATACTTATATGATATTTCACCAATTAATTTTATGTTGGATATTAATTTATACGACTAATGATATTTAATTTTTATAGGCGTTGGTTCCAGTACCATTGGGCTAAACATGATTGCAGTCTATGTCGATTAGTGAATAACTTTATTTCGTCTTAACAGATGGATAGAGATGAGCACTTGTAGACAGACTAAACTTATGATTCTTAACTATTCACGGTGCGCCCTATGCTGCCTAATTTCATTGATTACTGGGCATGGAAACCTTAAGTATCACCACAAATATATAACTCTTGTTGAGGAAGACACTTGCAGACTATGCCTAGAAGAAAAGGAGACAGCGATGCATATATTGTGCCAATGTCCAGCACTTGCTGAGGTGCGGAGGATGACTGTCTTGGGTCAACATCGGGTTGGTGATGACTTGGCAGGCAACTTTAAGTCAAATGAGCTGCTTGCAATAACTAATGTAGTTATATGAACGGAAGCCACTCTGGCTTTAACTCAATAACGACATTCGATTCGTTTCGTGGTCTACTGCGGCTAATCATTTATTTCAGTAGGGCCACTTGTTGAGCGGTGCGCAGTCCCAACGACCCATAATATATGTTGTACTTATATTCAGGATAACCTTCACTAAGCATTTCAAAAATCGTGTTTAATACAAGTTTTTAAATAAAGCTTAAATAAAAACTCTTATTTTCGCTCGTTCAA